CCAAAGCAACCAAGCATTAATGAACTGAAACAAACCATTGAGGAGGATTGACAAATTAAAACAGTAAGGAAAAGGAGAAAACAAGGGACAGAAGTGAAAAACTTACAAGCAGGAGTACAACCTATGAAGGCTGATAGAACTAGGAATGGGTATCCACTCCTTAGAGGAAGAACCAGATCTAGATCCCAGCCTTCCCCACATCCTCCACTCCGTGATTAATCTACTTTACTGGAATATAAGGGGGATGGCTAACCCTCTATCCCTTAAAAGAGATTTATACCTGAATTATAAATACAAACTGTGGTGCATTGTTATTCTTGAACCCATGGTTCACAAGAATCCTCAAAACCTGATTAAAAAATTTGCTGGTATCACTCATTTTGGGAACACTAATAATAAAATTTGGATTTTTTGCAGAAGAGAAACAAATTTTGATATTCTAATTGATCATCCACAATTTGTCCACCTCTCATTCAATATGAATGGACATAAAGGTGAAGCTACCTTTACTTATGCTGGATGTACAATGGATGCTAGAAATAAGCTGTGGAATAGGTTGATTCACATCAGCCAACAGGTGAACTCGCCATGGTTGGTGGGGGGTGATTTCAATTGTATCATTTCTACCTTTGAAAAATCTGGAGGTAGAACTCCAAATAGAATGTTGGTTAATGATGCATGGTTCAATCACTTCCTCCTCACCTTTGTTACTCACCTTAGCCTTGCTGGCTCAGATCATAGGCCTATTCTTATAAGCATCACCTCAACTGATAACTATAGCTCCCCCCTCCCCTTTAGATATCTCAACATGTGGGCTGCACATCCTTCATATAGTAATTACATTGTTGACCTATGGAAAGGGGTCTCTCACCCTGACCCCTTAGTCCAGCTAAGCTTACTGCAAATCAAGATTGCTAAAGCCCTCAGAGGTTGGAGCTGGAACACTTTTGGAAATGTTAATGCCACAGTCCAGAAGGCTGAAGATGAAGTTAAAGCTTTGGAGAATGGGGGACAGCTTGGTATTGAGGAGGAGAAAAAGCTGCTGATTGCTCAGAACAACCTCCTCAGTGTCATCGATTACCAGGAAAAATTTCTTAAACAGAAGGCAACCATGAATATTTTCACTGATGGGGATAGAAACACCAGATTCTTTCATGCCTATATCAAATATAAAAGAAAATGCAATACCATCCAAGATATACAAAATGCCAATGGCCAGTGGTTACATAACAACAACGATATAACAAATGATGTTATAAGTAATTACAAAGAATTACTCAACCAGGAACATAACTTCAGACCCCACATTGAGAAGGCACACTTCGGCACGAGAAGGCACACTTCATGGCAGAACTGAACTACACTGCTGGTCTCAAGCTTACTGACATCCCCACTGAAAAGGAAATATGGAATGCAATCAATTCCATAGATAACAGTAAATCTACTAGCCCTGATGGATTTACTGCTGAATTCTACAAGAAGTCTTGAGAAATTATTATGACTAATGTTATTGCTGTTGTTACAAGCTTCTTCCAAGGCAACAATCTTCCAAAGTACTTTTGCTCCTCCACCACTTTATTGATCCCTAAATCTGAAATAAAGAAAAATTGGAATCATTTCAGACCCATCTGTTTGACCACTGTTATTAGCAAAATCATCAGTAAAATCATTATGAACAGGCTACAACCTTACTTGGACTCTATAATTAAACCCAATCAAACTGCCTTTGTGAAAGGAAGGTCCATTATTGATAATACTCTTCTGGCCCAAGAACTTCTACAGGACTTGAATAAAACTTGTAGAGGGGGTAATATGGTTTATAATCTAGACTTAAGGAAAGCTTATGAAACCAAAAGCTGGGATTTCATTTTGGAGGTTCTAAGTGTTAGAAAATTTAACACTGGTTTCTGCCACCTAATCAGGAGGTGGCTGCACAACAATGAACATTCCATCCTGATAAATGGGCAAGGGAGGGGCTCTTTGACTGCTACAAGAGGTTTAAAGCAAGGGGATCCACTATCACCCACCATCTTTATACTTGCAATTGATTATTTGTCCAGAATGCTTGATGAAGCCTTGCTGAATCATAGTCAAAA